CATTTTACCTGTTGAATCATGAATTCATTCATTAGACAGGTACTGTGATCTTTTAGAATAATCCAGTTTTTACAAGGATTTATTTGGTCACTTTAATTTGTATAAATCAAGGGAATGGTTTGCTTGTGAACTCACTGAAAGAACTTCTTTTTCCAGGACTCTTCTTCAGGAGCAATTTCTTAGGCAAAGGAGTGGAGTAGTTACTTATGTGTGGCAATTAGTAGATGAAACAGTAGAAACCTAACAGTAACTTTTGTTTCATTCTGAGCTATATTAGAGTGCAAGGCCTCTCTGCAGGGTGTCTCAGGTACCATATGAATACCCAAGTTTGAAGACACTGCCTGAGTCTACGTATGTATGTTGGGATCTAGCAGCAAATCTTTATTCCAAGATCTCTAAGCTCTCTTTCCCCTGCTTTCTCTCTTTGCACTTGTGAATTTAAATGTTTTTTTCCCTCTACTACTTTCCACAGGCTTGTGGATGGCAGCATTCAGACTATCTGCTTTTGCTCCAAGAACCTTAGGGAAATGCAAAGTAACTCTTCATTAATAAAACATTGGGGATTTCTAAACTAAAACGTAGATATTTGAGGGGTGGTGCCTGTAGCTCAAAGGAGTAGGGCGCTAGCCCCATATACCAGAGGTGGCGGGTTCAAACCTGGCCCCAGCCAAAAACTGCAAAAAAAAAATTAGATGTTTGAAAGTGTTTTCACTGTTGAGAGTAGTATAGAGCACAGGTACTCTCTCACCATTTTTTGCAGAGATATAATTTAACACTATCTCTGTGGAATACAGTGTAGCAATACCTAATAAAATTTTTTGAATGCAGGTCCCCTTTACCCCTGTACTTCTGTTTATGGTAATTTACTGAACAGACAGACTTACATAGTCTGTCTACAGAGACGTTAAGGATATATATATTGCGGCTTGGCGCCTGTGGCTCAGGTGGCTAAGGTGCCAGCCACATACACCTAAGGTGGCAGGTTCAAAGCCCGGGCCCATCAAACAACAATGATGGCTGCAACTGAAAAAAAAAAAAAATAGCCGGGTGTTGTGGCGGGCGCCTGTGGTCCCAGCAACTTGGGAGGTGGAGGCAGGAGACTCGCTTGAGCCCAGGAGTTG